TTAAGAAACTCTAACTTTACGTCGGAAAACTCCTAAATTTACGTCGGAAACTCCTAAATTTACGTAAGAACCTTCTTAAATTTACTTAAGACACTTCTAAATTTACGCCGGAAACCCAAATTTACGTCGGAAACCTAAATTTACGTAAGAAACTCCTAAATTTACGTAAGACACTTCTAAATTTACTTAAGACACTCCTAAATTTACTTAAGACACTTCCAAACACCTTCCCTCACCGCCCTCGCCTCTCTCCCCCCAGTGCGTGGTGCCTCTCTGGATCCTATTCTTTAGCTATTCTTACGTAGAAATTTCCTAGATTTACGTCGGACACTCCTAAATTTACGCAAGACACTTCTAAATTTACGTAGGAAACCTAAATTTACGTCGGAAACTCCTAAATTTACGTCGGAAACTTCTAAATTCACGTAAGAAGAAACTCCTAAATTCACGTAAGAACCTTCTTAAATTTACTTAAGACACTTCCTAAATCTACTTAAGACACTTTCCAACCCCCACCTCACCGCCCTCGCCTCTCTCCCCCCCCAGTGCGTGGTGCCTCTCTGGATCCTATTCTTTACCTATTCTTACGTAGGAAACTCCTAAATTTACGTAAGAACCTTCTTAAATTTACATAACACACTTCTAAATTCACATCAAAAAATCCTAAATTTACGTAAGACACTTCCAAACACCCCACCTCACCGCCCTCGCCTCTCTCCCCCCAGTGCGTGGTGGCCATGGAGAACAACATGACCTGCGCGCTGCTGAACCCCGACGACAAGAACGCCCCGCCCAAGTCGTTCACCTTCGATGGCGCATACTTCACCGACAGCACCACCGAGGGCATCTACGGGGACGTGGCCTTCCCGCTCGTCGAGGTCAGGGCCAGGGGCACGCATGCGAACACTCAGGGAGGGAGACGGAGAGAGAGATCTGTTTCACTCTGGCTGTCTGTCTTTCTCTGTCTGTCTGTTTCTCTCTGCTGTCTTTCTTTCTCTGTCTGTCTGCTCTCTCTGGCTGTCTTTCTTTCTCTGTCTGTCTGTCTTCTCTGTCCTCTCTCTCTCTCTCTCTCTCTCTCTCTCTTTCTCTGTCTGATCTCTCTCTCTCTGTCTCTCTCTCTGTCTTCTCTCTCTCTCTCTCTCCTTCTCTCTCTCTCTCTCTCTCTCTCTCTCTCTCTCTCTCTCTCTCTCTCTCTCTCTCTCTCTCTCTCTCTCTCTCTCTCTATCTCTCTTTCTCTCTTTCTCTTTTTTTCTCTCTCTCTCTCTCTTTTCTTTCTTTCTTTCTTTCTTTCTTTCTTTCTTCTTTCTCTCTCTCTCTCTCTCTCTCTCTCTCTCTCTCTCTCTCTCTTCTCTCTCTCTCTCTCTCTCTCTCTCTCTCTCTCTCTCTCTCTCTTTCTCTTTTTATCTCTCTTTCTCTCTTTCTCTTTTTATCTCTCTTTCTCTTTTCTTTCTTTCTTTCTTTCTCTCTCTCTCTCTCTCTCTCTCTCTCTCTCTCTCTCTCTCTCTCTCTCTCTCTCTCTCTCTCTCTCTCTCTCTTCTCTCTCTCTCTCTCTCTCTCTCTCTCTCTCTCTCTCTCTCTCTCTCTCTCTCTCTCTCTCTCTCTCTCTCTCTCTCTCTCTTCTCTCTCTCTCTCTCTCTCTCTCTCTCTCTCTCTCTCTCTCTCTCTCTCTCTCTCTCTCTCTCTCTCTCTTTCTCTCTCTCTCTCTCTTTCTCTCCCTCCCCCCTTTTTATCCATTTAAATGTTATTCTCAATCTTTTGTTAATGCCAAGTTATGCCATGTTGAACAGCATAAGTGTAATGTGCGTGTCATGATTATTCCGTGATAATAAAAATAATAGATAACAATAATAATAATAATAAAGATAAATAACAATAATAATAGTAATAATGATAAAGTTAAAAATAATGATGCAAACGATAATAATAATAATTGTAATAATAATTAATGATAATAATAGTAATTGATGATGATAATAATAATAATAATAATTAATAATAATAATAGTAATTGATGATGATAATAATAATAATAATTAATAATAATAATAGTAATTGATGATGATAATAATAATGATAATTAATAATAATAATAATAATCAAAGCTGCACTCCCTCTCACAGAGCGTTCTGGAGGGCTACAATGGCACCGTCTTCGCCTACGGACAGACGGGCTGCGGCAAGTCCTTCACGATGCAGGGCGTGCACGACCCCCCTACCCAACGGGGCATTATACCCAGGTGTGCCTCTTAAGCCTCTTAGTTCTGTTAGTCTTCTTATTCCTCTTTATTTTTATTCGTATTTTTCACTCCCTGTTGTGCGTTTTCTTTCTCTCTGCAGCTGAGCGTTCGAACACATCTTCGAGGGGATACAGGCGTGAAGTTTTTCTTACTCTTAAGCGTCCTCTTACTCTCATATCATTCTCAATTACATTTTAAAATACTTATGGCCCTCTTGTTCTTCTTCCTATTCCTAGTCTCATTTTTTATTCGCATTCTCTCTCCCTTTTTATCCTCTTTTTCTTTCCCTCCCCCGAGAGAGCGTTCGAACGCATGGAGCACCAACCTCAGTCTTTGGCTTCCTCTTAGTCCGCTTATTCTCACGCCCATTCTCCATAGCCATTCCTCTTACTCTCACTCGCATTCTCACCCCTCCTCGTCCTCTTATTCCTCTCTGTCTTATTCCTGTTTATCATTTTCACTCCCTCTCCCCTTCTTTGTTTCCCTCCTAATCAAAGCGTTCGAACACATTAGAGCGTTCGAACACATTAGAGCGTTCGAACACGTCTTCGAGGTGATCCAGACATGAAGTTTTTTTTTTTTTTTACTCTTAACCGTCCTCATACTCTCATTCCAATCTCAATCACATTTTTTTATACGTACGACCCTCTTACTCTTCCTATTCCTATTCTCATCCTTTATTTCACATTCTCACTCCCCCTCTCACCCTCCATCTCTCCATCTCTCCTTCCAGAGCGTTCGAACACATCTTGACCCAGACCGTCTCATACTAATAACCATTACATTTCGATAAATTCTCAATCACATTTTATACCTACGTCCTCTTACTTTTCTTCATATCCTTATTCCCATAATTTATTCCACATTCTCCCACCCCCTCTCACCCTCCGTCTCTCCCTCTCTCCTTCCAGAGCGTTCGAACACATCTTCGAAGTGATCCAGACATGAATTTTTTCTTACTTTCTCTTCTTATTATTCCTATTCTCATTCTCATCCTTTATTTCATATTCACACTTTAAACGTCTTCATGCTCTCATACCATTCTCAATCTCTCTTACTATTCTTCCTATCCTTATTCTCGTTTTATTCCACATTCTCCCACCATTCTAAGTCTCTCTTACTATTCTTCCTATCCCTATTCTCGTTTTTATTCCACATTCTCTCTCATGCCATTCTCTCTTACTATTCTTCCTATCCTTATTCTCATTTTTATTCCACATTCTCTCTCATGCCATTCTCAATCTCTCTTACTCTTCTTCCTATCCTTATTCCCATAATTTATTCCACATTCTCCCACCCCTCTCACCCTCCGTCTCTCCCTCCCTCTCCTTCCAGAGCGTTCGAACACATCTTCGAGGTGATCCAGACGACAGAAAACATGAAATTCCTCGTCTTGGCGTCTTATCTCGAGATCTACAACGAGGAGATACGGGACCTCCTCGGAGCGGACGCCAAGAAGAAGCTCGACCTCAAGGAGCACCCGGATAAGGGGGTCTACGTTCAGGGTGAGTCGAGGGGGAGGTGATGGGGAGGGGGGTGGAGGAGGAAGGGAGGTGGAGGAGGAGGAGGGAGGAGGAGGAGGAGGAGGAGGGAGGAGAGGGGGAGAGAGGTGGAGTGAGGGGAAGGAGGAGGGGGGGTGGAGGAGGTGGAGGAGGAGAGGGAGGAGGAGGGAAGTGTGAGAGGAGGGTGGAGGAGAGGAGGAGAGGGAGAGGGGTGGTGGATGTGGAGGAGGGAGGTGGGGAGAGGGAGGGAGGGAGGAGGAGGAGGAGGAGAGAGGTGGAAAGTAGAGGAGGAGGAAGAAGTGAGAGAGGAGGAAGGGAGTAAGTGGATTGGAGGGAGAAAAGAAAAAGAAGAAGAGAAAAAGTAAAAGAAAAAGAGGAAGGAGAAGAAGGGAAGGAATGGAGATGGAGAAGAGAGGAGAGCATAAGAATGAAGAAAAAAACAAGTTGCTAGGTACAAGCGAATGAGAGTGCAAATGACCACAAGAAAAAGAAAAAAAAACTAATTGAAAGTTGCAAGTACTTGAGAGTGAATGAGAAAGTGCATGAGAGTAAGAAAAAGTGCACATGCAACAAAGAATGAGCGTATGAGAGCCTGGATATGAGTGCATGTGAGTGTGTAATCAACATGAAAGATTAGACTATGTGAAAGTCTGTGACAAATGAAAATCTGTTGGTAATAAATGATAATTCATTTATTATTAATGAATGATAATTAATTTATTATTGATAAATGATGATTCACTTATTATTGATAATTGTTAATTCCTTTATTATTTACAAATGATAATTCATTTATTGTTCATATGATCATTTATCATTGATTATTAATTATCAGTAATTATGATAATTTTCCATTAAACGGAATATATAGGAGTAGAATTAGATTTCTTTATAAAGAATTTAGATATTTTAACTTGTAAAAAAAATGCGAGTGAATAAATAGTAAAACTAAAGCACTGGGAGAGCGCATACCTCCGCCAAGGCAAATGAATAATGATAATAATTAAAACGCCGATAAGTTGTCCCTATCTTACTATACTGATAATAATAATATATTTTGCAATATATAATAACAATATAATAACATAATATACTGATAATAACAATATATTTACCCCTATGGCCTTCGGGGTAACTGATGTAATCTTTAAACAATAACATGGATCCAGCTCGCCACCAAAATTTAATGGCATCTAAATTAGGCAAAGACAAAAAAAAAAAAAAAAAAAAATAAAAAAAAAAATAAATAGATAATAAATAAATTAATAATTAATAATAATAATAATAATAATAATAATAATAATAATAATAATAATAATAATAATAATAATAATAATAATAATAATAATAATAATATGTTCGTAACAAAATTTAATGGCATCTAAATTAGGCAAAGACATATACCTCTTGTAAAATAAATAAATAGATAGATAGATAGATAAATAAATAAATAAGAATAAATAAGTAAAAAATAAGAATAAATAGATAAATAATAACAATAATAATAACAACAACAATAATAATAATAATAATAATAATAATAATAATAATAATAATAATAATAATAATAATAATGTGTTCGTAACTTTTTTGAGATATCCTGCTAAGTAACGAACAAACAAACAAACAAACAAATCAAGTAACCAACGCGACCAAAAACGTAACCTTGGCGGAAGTAATTTAAATACGTAATGGAGAAAATGATGATAATCATGATAATGGCAATAATGGTAATGATAACAATAATAATGATAATAGTAATGATAAGAAAGATGATTATAATGATAATAAAATAATGATACTAATAATGATGATAATAAAAATATAATAATAATAATAATGATAATAATAATAATAATAATGATAGGGATAATGATAATGATAAAAAAGGTAATCACGACAATAATAATAATAATAATGATAGTTAATATTCATATGAATAATGACGACGGCAATAACAGCATTCATAATACTAATGACACAATAAGTGCATTTCTCGCAATTAGTGATGACCCAAATATCCATTACGGTCACAACAGCTGTTCCCAGTGTTGCCATCTTAGCGACTTTTCCCGCTAAATCTAGCGAATGTCAACCTAGCATCGAAAAAAATTTATTTGGTAATCCTTTGCTCTCAGATTTACCAAGGATTTATTTTGGAGGATTGTCCATAATCTGCCCGATTTTAGGAAGGTGTAAAAAGATAACAGGAGCTGTTTCGTTTCGGCTTTTAGGAGTAGCAGGCGATGCCCAAATAAGGCGCTACTCTCGCGTTCTGTCTCGCATGCTACAAGTCGCTTATCGATCAACTACATAATTTAACAAGGACTCTGGAGAGGAGAGGGAAGGGAGGAGAGGAGGGAGGGAGGAGGAAGAGGAAGAGGGGAGGAAGGAGGGAGTGGGATGGGAGGAAGAGGAGGGAAGGGAAGAGGAGGGAGGGAGGGAGGAGGAGGAGGAGGAGGAGGAGAGGGAGGAGGATGGGAGGAGAGGGAGAGGAGGGGAAGGGAAGGAGGAGGAGGGAGGAGGGAAGGGGGAAGGAAAAGAGGAAGAGGAAGGGGGAAAAGGAAGAAGAAGGAGACCGATTAAGGGGAGATAGAAGAAGGAGAAAGGGGATGGAGGGGGGAGGATGAGGGTTGGTTTGGGGTAGGGGGAGGGGGCGGGGGGGTCGAGCGGGTCGTTCCAGTACAGTTCGACACGCGACGGTCCCCCCCCCCCCCCCCCCTCCCTCTCTCTCCCTCTCTCTTGGATCGCTGACCCCACTCCTCTCCAATCCTTTCTCCCTCTCTCCCCTCTCTGCTGGCCCTAACCCCACTCTTCCTTCTTTCCCCTTTCTTCTGGACCCCTCCTCTCACTTCCCTTCCCTCCCCATCCTCCTCTCCCCGTCTCTTTCCCTTCCCCTCCATCTCTTCCCCTCTCTCCCCCTTCCCCTTCCTTCCCTTTACTTTCCTCCCTCCCTCTCTCCCTCCCTCCCTCCTTCTATCCTCTCCCCTCTGTCCCTCCCTCCCTTCCCTCCCCCCCTCGTTTCGACTGAGGTCACGTGTCTTTCGCGTGTCTCGGTAGGCAAGGTCACGGGGGGGGGGGTAGGAAGGGGGGATAGATTAGTTAGCGAAAGGAGGAAGAGGGAAAGGGGTGATAAAAGGAGGGGAGAGAGGGGAAGGAGGTGTTAGATTGAGGGAGAAAAGGAATAAAGGGGATAATGAGGAAGAGAGGGAGAGAAAATGAATTATAGAATGAGAGAGAGAGGAGAGAAAATGAATTCTAGAATGAGGGAGAGAGGGAGAGAAAAGGAATGATAGAATGAAGGAGAAGGAGTAAAAGAATGATAAAATGGAAGAGAGGAGAGAAAAAATAGAATGAGGTAGAGAGGGAGAAAGGAATGATAGAATAAGTTAGAAAGAGGAGAAAAGAATAATAATAGAATGAGAAAGAGGAGAGAAAAGAATGATAGAACGAGGTAGAAGGGAGAAAAAGAGGAATGATAAAATGCGGTAGAAAAAGAAAAAAAAAAATGAATCCTAGAATGAAGGAGAGAGAGAGAAAACAAAAAACAGAACAATGAATAGAGCAAAAGGAAGATAAACGCATACATAGCAGAGAAAGGGGAGGGTAGGCAGAGAATTCAAGCTTCTGTGCTTGAAGTACCTCAGCCCCTTCAGCAACTTCTTAGCTAATTGGATAATTGTTCTGGGATAAGAAGCAATTATTTGGCTCAAACGACTGACCGGGCTGTTTGCTTCTGTTTTCCCGCCAAAATAACCCGCCATGACGTATATGAAGTTCGCTGAAAGAAAGTGGGGGGGGAGGAGGAGGAGGAGGAGGAGGAGAAGGGGGGAAGAGGGGAGGGGAGGAGGAGGAGGGAGGAGGAGGATGGAGGAGGAGGAGGGGAGAGAGGAGGGGGAGGAGGAGGAGGTGGAGGAGGAGGAGGAGGAGAGGAGGGGGAGGAGGAGGAGGAGGAGGGAGGATGGGAGAGGAGGGAGGAGGAGAGGGGGAGGAGAGGAGGAGAAGAAGAAGAGGAAAAATAAAAGAGGAGGAGGAGAGGGGGAGGAGAGAGGAGGAGAAGGAAGATGAGAAATTGAAGAGAAGATGAAGATGAAGAAAGGAGAAGGAGGAGGAGAAGAAGAAGAATCCTCCAGGAAGATTTTTTTTTTTTTTTTTTTTTTTTTTTTGAACGAAGAAAACTTTCCAGAACAAACCATTCTTTATTTAACGGAGAAAGAAGGTCAAGGTATTGCACATTCATGCAATGACCTTCAGCGGACTGTAAACGAATCTCGACTTTAAGACCCAATCTCTTGTGTACTTTATAAAGCTTATACAAACCTAAAGGATATATATATATATATATATACATATATATATATTTATATTTATTATTATTATATAATTTTTTTTTTTACGCTCGTTATTTGTTATTGAAGTTTCTCGTCTCACTTCAAAATACATCTTATTTTTTTTTCGTCCAAAGAACTTAATTCAATGATACTGCATCTTGAATAAATAATTTTATATATATATTTAAATCAAATTTGCAACGGGTGTAAATATACATATAAGAGATCGTTAAACCAGAAAAAACTATTTAAAAAAGATATAGCTACCATAAAATAAAAAAAATATAGATACCATAAAATATGTCCATTTCGTAAGTATTGACCCAGTGTCGTGAAATCGGTGCCTAATGTATATTTTTTATTCTTTTAAATGTCAAGTGTTGCTGTATTATTCATGACAGTGAGACTGACATGGCTGCATCTGATGGATTTTATCGAATATTTGATACAGGAGACCGTTGTCATTGTCATATGCCAGTCGTCGTGTATGCCAGAGCCAATCTGTGCCAAGAATCAAGATGGTGGGTCGATTATACGAGTTAAAATGAGTGCCATGAATTGTATAGTTTTTTTTCGATTCGCGAAGGAAGTGGATATTGGAATTGGGAATAAAGATAAAAAAAGGAAGGAAGAGAAAAGAAGAAAAGTTAGAAGAAAGGAGTAAATAAGGGGAGAATGGAAGAAACTAAAGGAGTAAAGAAGGGAAAGAATGGGAGGAAGTAAAAAAAAGGAAAAGAGAAAACGAGGAAAGAGAGAAACAAAAAGAAAAGCGAAAGAGAAAGAAAGGACAAATAAGTAAAAGAAGTACAAAAATGGAATGCAAGTATATAGCGATTGTAATTCCATGTTTAACTAAAGGATTATTCAGAACTTTATGGAACCAGACTGAACACTTCAAACTACATCAAAAATCATTATGTTTTAGTCTTTTAAACCTTATTAGGCATCCCGTGGGCAATTATTATTATTATTGTTATTATAAATTATATATTTTATTTTTTATTTTTTATTTTTTACCCCGCAACATAATAAGTTACGTAGAGATCTAAAGTTTTATCATGCAGAAACTATACCAGGCGCGCAACTACGGGGGGGGGGGGTCCTGGGGTCACAAAGGGGTGAAAGAAACCCTTTTTCTTGGACACTTTCTTTCTCTTGATCTTGGAATGGCGATGAGACTGTTTATTCTATTTTTGTTTGGTTCAGTGCAAATAATTATCCTCATTAAAATTCTTATAACATTTCTTCCGTTTTTTAAATCTGAAGAAAATTCAGGCTATATCCTCTATAAATGAAAATCATTGTGCCCTTTGTGACCTGGACAACTGCCCCTGTCTGCCTTGCAATAAACCTATTGTATATTTTCATTCCGTGCAATAAACCCACTTTTATCCCGAAGTAATTTATTCAAAGCTTTTATAACAGACGCAAAAATAAACAAGAAAGAATTAAACGTCGGTTCATATAAAGTTGCTCTTTATTTTTCGCGTTTTTTCTCTTTTCCGTTTTTTTTTCTTTTCCGTTCTTTCCCGTTTTTTTTTTTTTTTACCTTTTTCGTTTTTTTCTTTATTTCTATTCCATATATATTTCCCCGTTTTCTTTTCCTTTTCCGTTTATTATTTCCCGTTTTCTTTTCCTTTTCTGTTTATTATTCCGTTTTTCTCTTCCTTTTCCGTTTATTTTTTCCCGTTTTCTCTTCCTTTTCCGTTTATTTTTTCCCGTTTTCTCTTCCTTTTCCGTTCTTTCCCGTTATTTACCCTTTTCGTTATTTTTCTTTTCCGTCTATTTTCCCCGTTTTCTTTTCCATTTCCGTTTTATTTTTCCGTTTTCTTTTCCTTTCGTTTCTGTTCGGGAACTAAAATCACGAAAGAAAACGAGCTTCGACTTAACTGCCTGAGTGGCCGTCAAGAGCTTAGGTATGTCAAGGCCGCCATTTAAGAGATATTTTCAAACTTTTTTTTTTATTTTATGGTAATTCGGATACTTTTTTTTTTCTTTTTTTTTTTCTTTTTTTATCCCTGTGGTTACGTGTTTAAGGATCATTGTTGGTTTTTGTGTGTGTTTGTTTTTTCTGGGGAAGGTATAGATATATAAATGTTTACAATGTATTTCTATAAAAAAATAAGATTTTTTTTTTGAGGGGGGGGGTATCCTCACTTTTCATGTATGTCTTGTTGGACTATATATTATATTATATTATATATATATATATATATATATATATATATATATATATATATATATATATATATATATGTATATATATATATATATATTTTTTTTTTTTTTTTTTTTTACTTTTATGAATATTTTATTGCACGGTTTAGCTTGTGATAGTGAGGATAAGAAAAAAAATTTCTGTGTGACTGTCGGTTAAGTTGTGGACAAAACAACAACAACAACAATAAAAAAGCCAAAAAAACACAATTTTTCTTAGTGGTTTTGCTTACAAGTATGAAAAGTAAATCACAAATTTTCATACTTAAAGTTTTTTTTCCTATAGTCAAACTATAGATCATAATATTACGAAATTATTCTTACTCTTATTTGCACTTTTAAGATAGAATCAAATCAAATAAAAATAGACTCCCATGAAAATAAAAAAAAAACAATGTGTGTCTAAATATAAGTTTGGGAATGAATAACAACAGTGATATATTAAAATGAGTTATGCAATAAAAGTAATGATGATGGTTATTGATCGTTAGGCTGGTTTCAGAATAACATTTGCAGGTTTTGTTTCTTCTAAATTCAGTGCATAATTTAAGAAGGGAGGTTATCTCTCTCTCTTTCTTTCTTTCTCTCTTTTCTCTCTCTTTCTTCTCTCTCTCTCTCTTTTTTCCTCTCTTTCTTTTACTCTCTCTTTTTCTCTCTTCTTTCTTTTACTCTCTCTCTTTCTCTTCTCTCTCTCTCTCTCTCTCTCTCTCTCTCTCTCTCTCTCTCTCTCTCTCTCTCTCTCTCTCTCTCTCTCTCTCTCTCTCTCTCTCTCTCTCTCCTCTCTCTCTCTCTCTCTCTCTCTCTCTCTCTCTCTCTCTCTCTCTCTCTCTCTCTCTCTTTTTCTCTCCTCCCCCTCCACTCCCCTTCTTTTTTTTTTTCTCTCTCTCTCCCCCCTCCCCCTCCCCCTCCTCCCTCCCTCCCTCCCTCCTTCTCCCCTTCCCCCTCTCCTACTCCCCTTCTTCTCTTCTCTCTCTCTCTCTCTCCTTCAAAGGTATTTCAAATATTTTATGGGTTTGGGGATTTTGACTCTCCAGCAGACCTTCCCTAATTTTGCCTTTCCTGAAGTCTTCCTGCTGGGCAATGACCTCGTTTGGGGCTGACATTTGGCTGACCTTTTCTCGCTGACCTTTCCCCGATGTGCTGCGTCACTCTCTTTCAACATTTCGACCTGTTTCTGTGTCTCTCTTTCTCTGTATCTCGCTTTGTTTCTGTCTATGCGTGTCTGTCTGTCTGTCTGTCTCTCGTTTTTTCTGTGTCGTCTCCTTCGCTGTCTCTCTCTTTCTTTCCTTCTTCCCTCGTCCTTGCTACCCACCCTCCCTCTCTCTCTCTCTCTCTCTCTCTCTCTCTCTCTCTCTCTCTCTCTCTCTCTCTCTCTCTCTCTCTCTCTCTCTCTCTCTCTCTCTCTCCCTCCCTCCCTCCCTCCCTCCCTTCAACCCCCACCTCCAATCGCAAATAATTCCTCTCACCCTTCCACATTCTCCTCCTTCCTCCCTCCCTCCCTCTCTCACCCTCCAATCAGTCTCCCACCCACCACACACTAACCGTCTCACCTTCCTTCTCTCACCCCCTCTTCCCCCCCCTCCCTCTCACCCTCTTCCCCTTCCCTCTCCCCCTTCCCCTTTCCCACTCCCACTAACCAGTCTCCCCCCACAGGCCTGTCCCAGCACCCGGTCCACAACACTCTCCCTCTCTCCCTTCCACCCTCCTTCCCTCCCTCTAACCACCCCTCTCCCCCCAGCTAACCACTCTCCCACCCCACAACTAACCCCTCTTTCTCCCCTCCCCCCAGGCCTGTCCCAGCCCCCCGTCCACAACGCTCTCCCTCTCTCCCTACCCCTCTCCTTCTTTCCCACGCCCTCCTTCTCCCTCTCCCACCCCCACAACTAACCCCTCTCTCCCCCCCCTCCTCCCTCCAGGCCTGTCCCAGCACCCCGTCCACAACACGGGGGCGAGTGCGAGAAATCCCTCTCACCCCCTCCCTCCCTCTCACCCCAATCTTTCCCCCTCTCCCACTCCCCCACAACTAACCCCTCATTCCCCCACAAACTAACCCCTCTCTTTCTTCCCCCTCTCCCACCCCCACAACTAACCCCTCTCTCTCTCTCTCCCCCCAACTAACCCCTCTTCTCCCCCCTCCCCCCCAGGCCTGTCCCAGCACCCCGTCCACAACACGGGCGAGTGCGAGGGAATCCCTCTCACCCCCACAACTAACCCTCTCCCACCCTCACATCTAACCACTCTCTCTCTCTCACCCCCACTAACCCCTCATTCCTCACCCACAACTAACCCCTCTCTCTCTCCCCCCTCCCCCCCCAGGCCTGTCCCAGCACCCCGTCCACAACACGGGCGAGTGCGAGGAATCTTATCCCCTCCTTCCCCCTCCCTCCACAACTAACCACCCCCCCCCCCCTCCCCCTCACAACTAACCCCTCTCTCTCTCTCACTTACCCCCAACTAACCCCTCTTTCTTCCAGGCCTGTCCCAGCACCCCGTCCACAACACGGGCGAGTGCGAAGAGCTGATGGACCGCGGCTGGAAGAACCGCTCCGTCGGCGCCACCCTCATGAACGCCGACTCCTCTCGCTCGCACTCCATCTTCACCATCACGTTGGAGATGATGGACACCACCGGGGAAACGGACGCCATCCGCAGCGGCAAGCTCAACCTGGTGGATCTGGCGGGGTCCGAGAGGCAGGCCAAGACAGGTGAGGAAGGAGGGAGAGGGGATGGGGTGGGTGGGAGGGGTGGGAGGGGATAGGGATAGGGAGGGGATTGGTAAGGAGGTGGGATGGGAGGGAGGGCAGGGTAGGGAGAGGAGGGAGGTTTGAAGGGGACAGGGAGGGTGAGGGACGGATAAGGGGAGGGAAGGGGTGGGTGGGAAGGGAGTGGATCTGGCGGGGTCCGAGAGGCAGGCCAAGACAGGTGAGGAAGGAGGGAGAGGGATGGGTGGGAAGGAGGTGGGAGGAGGACAGGGGAGGGAGAGTAGGGGTGAGGAGGATAGGGAGGGGGAGTGGGATGGGTGGGATAAGGAGGGAAGGGGGGGGGTGAGGGGAGGAATGGGAAGGGGAGGGTGAGTGGGATGGGGTGGGTGGAAAGGGGAGTGGATCTGGCGGGGTCCGAGAGGCAGGCCAAGACAGGTAAGAGAGAGAGGGATGGGTGAGGGAGGGGGGAAGGGGGAGGTGGGAGGGAAGGGGGGAGGGGGTGGGAAGGGGATAGGGTGAGGAGGGTGAGAGGGAGGGTAGGGTAGGGGGGAGTGATTGGGTGAGGTGGGTGGGGGATGGGAGGTGGGGTGGGTAGGGGTGGGTGGGGTGGGTAGGGGGAGGATGGGAGGAGTGGGAAGGGGAGTGGATCTGGCGGGGTCCGAGAGGCAGGCCAAGACAGGTGAGGAAGGGGAGAGGGATGGCGAAATAAGGAGGGGTGTGGGAGAGGGAGGGGAGGGTAGGAATGGGAGAGGGTGAGGGAGGTGGGATGGGTGGGTGGGAGTGGGGAGGGGGATAGGGTAGGAGGTGGGATGGGAGGTGGGGTAGGGTGAGGACGGATAGGGGTAGGACGGATAGGGTGAGGGATGGAGGGTTAGGAAGGGAGTGGATCTGGCGGGGTCCGAGAGGCAGGCCAAGACAGGTGAGGAAGGGGAGAAGGAGGGGATGGGTGGGGGTGGGGCGGGTGGGTGTGGGTAGGGGGAAGGGGTGAGGGGAGGGGGGTGAGGAGGATAGGGAGGGGGAGGTGGGATGGGTGGGGATGGGGAGGGAGGGGATAGGGAGGTGGGTAGGGGGAGGGGGATAGGAAAGGGATTGGAAGGGAGGATAGAGGGGGATGGGAAGGGGAGTGGATCTGGCGGGGTCCGAGAGGCAGGCCAAGGCAGGTGAGGAAGGGGGGAGGATGGGGATGGGGTGGGTGGGGGGGGGAGGGGGATAGGGAGGGTGAGGAAGTGGGATGGGATGTGAGGTAGTGGGGGGATAGGGAGGGTGGTAGGAATGGAGGGGGAGGGGGATTAGAGGGGGGATGGGAAGGGGAGGGTGAGTGGGATGGTGGGGTAGGAAGGGGAGTGGATCTGGCGGGGTCCGAGAGGCAGGCCAAGACAGGTGAGGAAGGAGGGAGAGGGTGGGATGGGATGGGTGGGGAGAGGGATGGGATGGGGTGGGGGTGGGGGAGGGTATGGGTAGGTGGGAGGTGGGGTGGGTAGGGGTGGGAGGTGGGATAGGGGAGGTGGTAGGAATGGGAGGGTTAGTGGGGAGGGGGTTAGGGTAGGGAGGTGGATGGGTGGGTGGGTGGGGGTGGGATGGGGGTGGGGGGATAGGGTAGGGAGGGTGGTAGGAATGGAAGGGGAGTGGATCTGGCGGGGTCCGAGAGCAGGCCAAGACAGGTGAGGAAGGGGGAGAGGGAAGGGGATGGGGTGGGTGGGGGAGTGGGGATGGATGGTGGGGTGGGGTAGGTGGAGTGGGAGAGGGATAGGGTGAGGGAGGGGGATGGGTGGGAGGGAGGGAGGGATGGGATAGGAGGAATGGGGAGTAGGAGGGGGAGGGAATGGGAGGGGGGATAGGGAGGGGTGAGAGAGATAGGGTGAGGAGGGATAGGGAGTTAAGAGGGGTGGAAGGGGAGTGGATCTGGCGGGTCCGAGAGGCAGGCCAAGACAGGGTGAGGAAGGGGAGAGAGGATGGATGGGTGGGGGAGGGGGAAGGGTGGGGGATGGGAGGCGGGAGTAGGGTAGGGAGGGTGGTAGGAGGGGAGTGGGGAGGGAGGGGATAGGGAGGTGGGGTAGGGGTGAGGGGGATAGGAAATGGATTGGGAGGGAGGATAGAGGGGGGATTGGAAGGGGGGTGAGTGGGATGGGGTGGTGGGAAGGGGAGTGGATCTGGCGGGGTCCGAGAGGCAGGCCAAGACAGGTGAGGAGGAGAGGGGGGTGAGGGAGGTGGGAGGAGGGGTTAGGGGAGGGAGGGTGGGGATAAGGAGTGGGAGGGAGGTAGGATGGGGGATAGGGAGGGAAGGGATGGGTGGGAAGAGAGGGGAGGGGAGGTGATTGGGAAGGGGAGGGGAAAAGGGAGGGAGGGATAGGGATGGGTGGGAAGGGCTGGGGGAATGGGGAATGGGAAGGGAGAGAGGGGGAGGGGGGAAAGATAGGGGAGGGGGAGTGGGGGAAGGGTGGTTGGGGGAAGGAGAGACCGGTGAGGAGGGGGAGGGGTGGGGGGATGGGAGGGGTGGGAAGGGAAAGTTAAATGGTGGGGGAAGGGTAGCTGGGGGATGGAGAGGAAAGGGTGGAGAGACGGTATTGTGTTTCACTTAAAGAGGATTCACGTTTTAGAGAAAACAAAACAAATAGATTTTTTTTTCACAAAAGTCCCTCTCTGTTTTAAGTTTATCAGAAATATTTTTCATTATCGTCTCTAACCAGTTTTAAAGACACTAAAGGTATTGTCTGTCATATGCCAATTAACGTTTTAAGTAAAGTAAGTGTATTTATTATAATCTCAGTACCTTCTAAGTAAACTAAAAGTATTTATAGTCACTTAACCATTTCTAAGTACCAATAATCTGAAAGTCTTTTCTGTTACAAACCCACTAACTTGTTCTAAGTAGACTAAATGTATCTTCTAGTACAAACTCACTTAACCTGTTGTAAGTAACTAAAAGTATATCCTATTACAAACTAATATTCTAACCAAAAGTTTTTTTTTTTTTATCATAATCTCATTAACTAAAAGCGTTTCCTATTACAATCCCACTAACTCGTTCAAAGTAAATTACATTTTTATCACTATTTTCATCTCAATAGATTGTTCAGAGTAAACTAAAGGTATTTTCTATTATATTCTTACTAACTTCTTTCAAGCAAACTATAAGTATTCTTCGTCACAAGTACACTATTCTTATTCAAAATAAACTTCAAATGTATTTTCATAGCCCCCCTAGCTTACACTAATTACTCTAAAAATGTTTTCTATTACAAAGTCACTAATTTATTCAAAGCAAACCAAAAATTATTCTCCATCACGACCCCGCTGACGACTTCCTTAAAGACTTCAAAATCTGTAAAAAAAAATTCCAGCAAACAAACCCACTAAGGCATCTAACAGTAAAAACAACTCGACATCCCAATCAACTTCTAACGACTTTCTTTGGCTTTAACGACGTTTTTGCCCTTAACGACATTTTGTTTTTGCCTTTAATGACCTTTTTTTTGTTTGTTTTTGCCTTTAACGACTTTCTTTGACTTTAACGACTTCCTATCCTATAACTTTAACGACTTTCTTTGACTTTAACGACGACTTCCTTTTGCTTCTAACAACTTCCCTCTACTTCCAACTTTTTTTACTTCCTAACAACTCCCTTATACTTCTAACAACCCTTTTTCCCTCTCCCTCCCTCCCCTCCCCCCTCCCCCCCCCCCCACCCAGGAGCCACGGGGGACCGCCTGAAGGAGGCGACGAAGATCAACCTGTCCCTCAGCGCCCTCGGGAACGTGATCTCGGCGCTGGTGGACGGCAAGAGCAAGCACATTCCTTACAGGGACTCCAAGCTCACGCGGTTACTCCAGGTACTTCGTTTTTTTGTTTGTCTGTCTGGTTGTTTACCTGGTTATCTATTTAGCTGTCTGTGTATCTGTTCATTTGTATGTTGAGCTATTTATCTGTATCTGGGTATTTATCTGTTTATTTATTTCGTTCTCTCTCCCTTCTCTGTTTGCTTTCTCTGTCTATCTGTCTCTCTCTCTCCCTCTTTCACTATTTCTCTATTTCTCTCTGTTTATCTCTCTCTCTCTCTCTCTCTCTCTCTCTCTCTCTCTCTCTCTCTCTCTCTCTCTCTCTCTCTCTCTCTTCTCTCTTCCTCCCTCCTTCCCTCCTCTTTCCACTTTCATCCTCCTTTCCTCCTCCCTCCCTTCTCACTCCTCCATGCTCCCCCAGGACTCCCTCGGCGGCAACACCAAGACCCTGATGGTGGCCTGCCTGAGCCCCGCCGACAACAACTACGACGAGACCCTGAGCACGCTACGCTACGCCAACCGGGCCAAGAATATCAAGAACAAGCCCAAGATTAACGAGGACCCGAAGGACGCCATGCTGCGCGAGTACCAGGAGGAGATTCAGAAGTTGAAGTCGCTTCTGGAGCAGCAGGGCGTCCAGGAGACGAGTGAGTTGGAGAGGGCTGTTGTTTGGGGGGTGGTTCGGGGTGGGGATGGGGGTGGTTGTGGGTATTGGTGTTTGTGGGGGTGGGGTGAG